TTGTCTTCACCTGGAGGTACTAGCCCAGCTGACTCAAGGGAGAGGGTGGCTAGTACATTCTAGAAAGTTCCATACTCAGCTGTGAGAGGAAAGAGGTGAAGGAAGGAAGGAAGAAAAAAGGGAGGTTGTGTGGTCAAACAAATGGCTTAAGTGACTGAGTCTGTTTCCTCTTGACTGCCCCCCAAGGGGAGGGAGGACAGCGAGGGAAGCGAGTGTGCGCCCTGGAGCCCACTGCCTGCCTGGCTACACCCGCCAGCTTCCAGCACTGCCTCTTACCAGCTCTTCGGCTGAGCGAGCTGCTTAACCTCTCCAACTCCAGTTTGTTATTGGGATGAAGGCGACTACCTTTGGGGACTCTCAGGATAATTCCGAGGTTTAATTCTTCCAGAGTCCCCAGAGCAGTGGTATCCTGAAGTACGTACTCAACACCAAGGAGCTCTTACCGTAACTGCACTGTTCACTTCTCTCCTTCCCCATTGTGCTTCGTTCCAAGTGAGCCTTCCTGGGTCTGCCTTGAGAACAAACACCAAAGCCGTCCACTTCTGTCTGCACAGCCTCCGCTCGGGCATGAGGAACTGCAATCTCGTTCCAGCTGCGGCGTCCTGACTGACTCCTGCCCTGCTTTGCCACGAGACAGCGCCTTGAGAGGTTCCTTTCCAAAGTGTAGCAGGTGTCTCTCCATGCAGAATGCTCTGTCTCTGGGCCAGAGACAGAGGGCAGGGGAAAGGCCTTTGTCTTGCATGTGGTCGACCCCAACATGGTGCCCTGCAACATGGCCTGGGGGACTCCTGAGCACAGAGCCAGGGTTAACTCCTGAGCACTGCTGGGTATGGCTACTCAAAAACAAACAAAACTCGGTGTGCTCCATTCTAAGACTGACCAGCTGAAGCAGGCAGGCAGATAGGGAAAGCCTCCACGCTCCACCCCTCCCCACCTGATGGCAATGATTCTTGAGAGTAAGAAAATCAACCCGTCCTAAGGCTCCAGGATCTACCTTGTGGACACAGGAACTAAGTAAGGCCTGAGATGTCCTTTAACTGGCCTCTCTGCAGACCCAGACCAGGCTGGACACCTGTCACCCACCCGTCCAGAAAAACTCCAGCAGAAACAAAGGCCAGGAAAAGAATGTCAAAGAAGACCATCAACTGCGCTCAGCTCTTCCCCTGTTTAACTACCCTGGCAATGGATGCTTACCTAGGTAGAAAGCTCCCCGTGGGGCAGGATCGGAAAAGCCTTTTAAAAGCCATCTTGAATAAAGGAAGTGTGCACATGTGTGGCCGGGCACATGCGTTGCCTGGATACATGGTGCCAGAGTGCACATGTCTTCCGCATGTCCCTCTTGAAATGTACACTTTCATACTTGCATGCTTTAATGCTGGGATGTGTACTGGGACTCTCACTCTGGATAGAGTCCATACGCTTGGACACTCTCTCTCTTCCCCTCCTTCCCTCCCTCCCTCCCTCCCTCCCTCCCTTCTTTCCTCCCCTCCCTCTTTCACTCCAATGCGATAGCACGATAGCACAGCGGCACAGCGGTAGGGCGTTTGCCTTGCACGCAGCCAACATGGCCAACCCGAGTTCGATTCCTCCGCCCCTCTCGGAGAGCCCGGCAAGCTACCGAGAGTATCTCGCCCGTACGGCAGAGCCTGGCAAGCCACCCGTGATGTATTCGATATGCCAAACACAGTAACAACAAAATCTCCAATGGAGACGTTACGGGCCCACTTGAGCAAATCCCTAATGTGACCTTTAAAAAATCTTAAATTAGGACTGGAGTAATAGCACAACAGGTAGGGCATTTGCTTTGCACGCAGCTGATCCAGGTTCAATTCCCAGCGTCCCATATGGTCCCCTGACAACCGCTAGGAGTAACTCCTGAGTGCAGAGCTAGGAGTAACCCCTGTGCATTGCCAGGTGTGACCCCCCCCCCAAATCTTAAATAATCCCACTCTCCTCTATTTAAAAGTCCATGCTGAGGGCTAGAGAGATAGTACAGGGGTTAAGGGGTTTGCTCTGCATGCAGTGGACCCCAGTTCAGTCTGCAGCACTGCATACGGTTTCCTAAGCACCGTCAAGAGTGATCCCCGGGCACAGAGCCAGGAGGAAGCCCTGGGCACAGCTGGGTGTGGTCAAGGGAAAAAAACTGACATACAGAACTTCCTCTTACTCACTGTTTGAGCTTTCTGGCACCTTGATCTGATCAAGTGAGCTAGAACTTTGCCCAGGCCATTTCCGTGGCTCACAGATCATTTCTCCACAACGAGTTTGCCTCTTCGTCCTCCAGAGCCCAGCTCTGAGTCTTTGCTTAGAAAAACCAAAGTGCCTGTTGCTCTGGCTTCTCTCTTGCTCCTCTGATAAACTGATGTCCTTTTCTCACATCTTTGTTGCTATTTTTACCCGCCCCTTTTCCCCGGCCCACTCCATAAGTGCAAGTACAGGGAAATCTTCAGTCTCTATTCCCAAGTGTGAGGAAGTGAGGAAGTGTGAACTCATCCTCCTAACATACCAGACGTCGCTAATTCTATTTTTTTTTTTTTTTTTTGCTTTTTGGGTCACACCTGGCGATGCACAGGGGTTACTCCTGGCTCATGCACTCAGGAATTACTCCTGGCGGTGCTCAGGGGACCATATGGGATGCTGGGAATCAAACCCGGGTCGGTTGCATGCAAGCCAAATGCCCTACCCGCTGTACTATCGCTCCAGCCCCTTCTTTTCTTCAAAAAAATTTTTGAGTTGGGGGTTGGAGCGGGGTGTTTCCCAAGCAGTGATTAGTTATTCCCTACTGATCTCCGCCCGCCTAGTGGAGCTGTTTAAAATGAGGGTCCTGTGGTACCAGAACCACCAGTGCCAGCCTGGGTGGTGCTCAGAAGTTTTCAGGGACACATCTGTTAGTGCCCAGGACCAGGAAGGGTCAGAGGGCTCAGGCTTGGGTGCATGCAAGGGGCGCATCCCAAACTGTACTATCTCCCCAGCCGCTCAATATAAATGTATTGAATTAATGTTCAACAAATTAGAAGCAAGCAGGAAGATAAGGAAGAATCCAGCCCAAAATGAAGACCCAGGGGGCCAACAGTGATGCCTTTGCAGTAACCCACTAAAAAATGACGAGGTCCCAACAGGGATTTTTCAATCTTGACTCTGTATTGAAATTACCTGATTCACTTTTAAATTTAATACTTCACTGTCATTGTCACTGTCCTCCTGTTGTTCATTGATTTGCTTGAGCGGGCCCAGTAATGTCTCCATTTTGAGACTTCTTGCTACTGTGTTTGGCATATTGAATACGTCACGAGTAGCTTGCCAGGCTCTGCTGTGCGGGCAAGATACTCTCGGTAGCTTGCCAGGCTCTCCGAGAGGGGCGGGCCGGGCTGGCTGCGTGCAAGGCAAATGCCCTACTACTGTGCTATCGCTTCAGCCCAAATTTAATACTTAAATTTAAATATTTAAACTTTGAGTGCACCCAGAAGAATCTGGTACCTGAGTGTACCCTCAGAAATCCTGATTTATTTGGAGGGTTCAGCTTGGTTTCAGGAGTTCTAAAAGTGCCCCGACTTGGAAATGACTAAAAGGAGGGTCCTGAGATTTTGACAAAAATCCTAAGGGTTTGAGATGCCTGTAGAGACTGGAGAGGAGATATTCAGTATTTGTTTCTTGACATGATTTATGTTGCTCTTAAGAAGAGTAGGAAATCCCTCTAGTTTTCAAGACCAGAAAAGCAGGAAAAGGCACATCTGGAAAATCTGACAATTGCAGAGAATATAAGACCAGGAGGCCATACCTACTCAAACCCCCTCTCCAAGCTGAGCCCCAGCAGCCTGAGAAATTAAACATGCTGATGTATTTTCAAGAAGGATTACATTATGCATGGGTACAGTTGCATAAATCCATTGACTTTACCATTCTTGTACAACCTGGAGGCTTACAATACCCCCTTGATGAAATTGCTCGCAGTCTTCAAGTAGCATTGAAAGGAATACATAACTGCCAATAAATGAAAACCTAAAAGAACCATTTTCACTCCCTTGGAGATATGCAAAGTTACTTCCATCTAAACTGCCTGGCTTGCTTAGCCTTGGAACTGGTAAACATGCCCCAGGTTACTAAAGATACCAAGCAGAGTCTGAAAGACCACAGCTCTCTGGATTGCTTCTAATTGAAACGAGAGGTACTAAAACAAGAACTGAAGGGGTGATATATTTAGTTAACAGATGGCAAATGGAGAGTCTGTCCAGCATCCATCACGTATGTTCCATTTCTCAGCATTCCATGGAAAAGAGATTCCAAATTTGAATAGAAGGTCAGTAGAAGGGAATGGGCCAGGCCTGGACTACAGGGTTTACTCAACTGAAAAACAAATGAAAAAACACAAAGCAATTTCCCAGCCCCCCGCAACTGCTGTATGTCCTATGCAGGTTAAAAATTCAAAAGGAGGACCCTGGAAGGGTTGGGCCAGATAAAGCTGGATGGAAATTAATTCCAAATGTACCAATACGGGCACTGAAGCAGGAATCCGCAACATTTAAAGTGCCTTTGGAAAGGGGGGTGGGGGTGAGGCGTGGAAGGCGATCCGGAATTCGCACTGGGGTGTGAACACCGGGCTCGGATCTGCTGCAAGCAGCCAAGTTTAAAAAACGATGATAAAAATCGAGGATAGGGGGTGGAAGCGGGTGGAAGGGCAGGAGAGCCGCGAGCACCCCCAGAAAACGCCTGTTGGCGTGCGTGGGGAATCCCCCACGCCCAGCAGCTCAGCCAAGCCCCGCCAGCCCTCGGCCGGAGACAGCCGCCCCACGGCCCGGCCGCTCGGCTGCAGTCGCTGGGTGCGGGGGCCCCGCCGCGGGTCCCGGAGCGCGCCCCACCGCGGCGGCTCCCAATTCCCGGGCCCCCGGCGCCCGCGGGGCCCGCGGGGGGCGGGGCGTGACGTCATGGCGCACGGCGCGGGGCGGGGCCGGCGGGGCGGGGCCGGCGGGGCGGGGCCGGCGGGGCCGCGGGCGGGGGAGGATGGCTGTGGCGGCGCCGCTTCCCGGGAACAACCGTCAAGACGCCGCCGCCGCCGCCGCCGCCGCCGCCGCGGAGGAGTCGGGCCGGGAGACGCGCGGGACCCTGCCTGGGCGTCGGCCGCGCCGCAGCCGCGAGGCGCCTCGGCGGGGCTGCGGGGGCCTCCCCCGGACTGGCTGGGGCTCGGCCGCCGCCCGCGGGACAGGGGCCTAGTCGCGCCGCCGCCTCGGCCGCCCCGACGAGCTGGAGGTACGGGCGGCGCCGCGGGGACGCGCGCGGGGGGCGGCGGAGCGGGAGGACCCGGGGCGGCGGGCGCGGCCGGGGACTCCGGGCCCGGGGCGGGGCGGGGCGGGGGCGGCGGGGCGGCGGGCGGGCGGGCGAGCAGGCCGCGGGTGGCGTCCGGGTCCCCGCCGGGCGCTGGCGCCCCCGGGGCCGCCGCGGAGCGGGGGATCCGCCCCGAGCGCGCGGCTCCCGGCGCCGGCGCCCGCCGCGGCCCCCTCCCCCCTCCCCCGGCCGCGCCGCGACCCCCGGGGTCCGGCCCTGCGTGCACGGGCGGGCGGGCGGGGTGCCTTCCGCTGGCGGCGCCCCCAGCCCAGCCCGGCCCAGCCCCGGCGGCCGGGGGTCCGCGCCAGGGGCCGGTGCAGCGCGACCACCGCAGCCCCTGCCCCTCCGGGGTGCAGAAGTGGCCCCTGGATGGTCTCTCCGGGAGGGTCTTTCTCGCGCGCGCTCTCTCTGTCTCTGTCCGTCTGTCTGTCTCTCCGTCTGTCTGTGTCTCTCTGCGTCCCTCTCTCGCTCTCCCCGCCGCTGACGCCCTCGCCGCCTTCCGGCGGGTCGTGCCGTTACTTTAAATTTCCAGGATTTTTTCTTTTCTTTCCTCCTTCTTTTTTCCCCTCCTCCTTCGTTCTGGCTGTTCCTCTGGCCCCCCTTGTCTTCTCTCGCCCCCGTTTCCTGGGATCAGGCGCGGGTTGGGTGGGTGGGGAGAGCAGAGGAAATTCGGGGTCCGTCCCCGCCGCCGCCCCCGGACGGTGAAATCAGAAAAAGGGCGGCGAGAGAGGCCGCGGCCGTACCTGGGAGCGAGGTGCGTCCGGGTCGGCCGGCCGGGCGCCGCAGGTGGAGGCAGATGCCGCGACTTTGTTGTGGTCGGGGGACTCGAGGCCCGAGCGTTCTCGGAGGCGCTGAGGTTGGAAAGTGCCGCGTGTCTCGGGCGCTGCGAGTTCCAGACCCGGACGTGGGCTGGGAACTTGGTTTCAGGTGTTGGTAAACAGTGAAGGCACAAAGGGGCTCCTTTCCCCCACCCCGGCCGACCGGCGACCGGTTGCCCCAAGCAGCGGGGTTTCCCCGCTTCTGATCCACTTTTCTTTTTCTTTTTCGGAGGGTGGGGGTATGAAGTGGCTTCCCTGTCCCCTCTTTTGTTAGTCTAATCTCGTCTCTCGACCCTTCTATTTCGTTTTCGATTTTTGCCCATGCTTATCTTGGCTGTGCCTCTTAACCCACTTCTGTTTCTAGTTCACGCTATGATCACACTTGCCCGTCTGTTGCTTTTAACACCCAAACGGCTGGACTGGATCAGAATGTAGAAGCTTCTGTTTAGAAAATGCCGTGGCGTAGTGCGGACGCTTCAGTTCAGACGTTCTTTCCTTGCCACATGGGAAGGAAATTCCGTGGAAAAGGTTTAGAACTCGCCGTCTTGGGACTTAACGGCAGTTATGCAAACACCACCCAAAACCAAAACACAACAGGAAAAACTTTTGTTTGAATTAATAAAGTCGCCTTTTTCTTGATAACTGAAGTTTATATTATCACTAAAGTTTTTGTGCAACTGAAGTTTCACTCTCATGTATCCATGGAGACTGTTTCAGTCATGACTTTTTCGGGGGAAAAAATTACATTTGGCAACTAACGTAAGTAATTTTTCCAATAGCTCTGACTTTCTGGAGGATTCCAGGAAGATTAACTTCTGAAAATGCAACTGTTATTTTAGAATTGAAAACCATAGTCTCCAAATTGCTACATGAAATACTGTTTTATTGTGGACATGTCTTAGTAGGTCTTTAGAGTGTAAAGAACTATCCAGTTAATTTTGTCATCTAACCAGTGTTAGAATGACTTTTTAAAAAGTTTTTTGTTGTGATTTGTAGACCCTGGGTGCCTTTTCACTTGACTAAGAAAAATAGATTTTTTTCTGACATGAAAACTAGTATGATTAGCGTCTGTTTTTAAAAATTTCCCCCAGTTTAGTGAAAGATAAATTCTTCACCTACATTCACAAGCTTGAATGTATTGAAAGAATTTATCTTTCACTAAAATGTATCTTCACCTATCTTCAAACTTAGGCGAAGATACAATTTGTCCTTAAGGATTTGTCCCATGGAATTAGATATTGGTAATTCGAAGCAAACATTTTGAACAGCTTAAAGAATCCTTTGTATATTCTGGCAGATTTTGATTTTGTCTTAGATTAATCATGAATTCTTTGGTTTCTAATCAGCCTCCAAGCATTTAAAAAAAAAATCTGAAAGGCATTTGGTGCAGGATTGAAAAATGAAGTTTTCTGAATTTTCACTGGGGAGAGAAGGAAGGCATTTATTTATGATAACTCTTAAAAACACCCCAGCTCAAGTGCTGGGCACAGAACTGGATAAGTTTTGTTGTATTTACATCTGAATTGCATCTTTAGGGTACTTTCTCCTAGTCCTTGTTGAGACATTATGAAAAGTAGGCCAGTGAGTCTGAGAGCTAGTTCAAAGGATAAGGCACTTGCCTTGCATGTAACCAATTCAGTTTGATCCTAAATGCTGACACCTCCTATGATCCCCAGAACCTAACCACAGGAGTGATCCCTGAGTGCTGAGCCATTAGTAATCCCTGAGCACTGCTGGATGTGGGCCCAAACCAATAATAATAATAAACACAAAGGCCATAAGGACCTAAAGATCAAAGAAAAGTTGATTTATATGTTTTATTTAAATTATTTTTCTAGGACCTGTTGCATTGTGTTTGATAAACTAACATGAATAATATTTTAATTATTGTTTAAAAGGATCTCAGAAGTACTTTAGCTTAGACACTTTTGGTTGACTCCTTTTTGGCAAAGAGCTAACCATTTTTTTGTGTGTCTTCTTTCGGTTGGTGTGAGAGATTAAAACCAGAACTTCGCAAGTGTAAGGCAAGTGCTGAACCTCTTAGCTGCATTCCCTGACCCACAAAATACTAATCTTAATTATTTTATAGAGAACAGTGATTTTTCCCCCCATAGGTCATTTCCTGCTCCCACCCCCAAATCAGGAGTATTTTCTTAAGTCTTTAAAAAAAAATTACAGGAAATCAGTGCTTTGTTACCGTAGAAGATGTATAGCATCAGAACCACTCTCTGTATAATCACATGTATGCTGCCAGAGATTGAGGGATATTCATTCTTTACTAAACACATCTGTGTTTCAGCTGGTGATAGACTTCAACCAAACAAGGCAATGAAATAATTTTGGGTGTTAAAATTTGGGTACTACATTTGTTTCATATATCAGTTGTATTTTCTGTACTAAAGTGGGAAAATCAGCACCATTTGATAAAAGTAGTTGTATTGCTCTTTGTGCTGCCAGTAAAACCTGTGCAATTACTTTGTTTATTGATTATATTTTCTTGAAAGCTATGTACTTAGCCTTAATAGCATCGTTTACTCTTCTCTTCTGTTACCTAGGATTTTATCTTAACAGTAACTTAGTAGAGAAATAATACTTGTTTGTTTCAGGAGTCCTATCTGGAGAGTTTTCTTGTGTGAAAGCCTCCCTGGGCAAAGTTAAAGAGGAGTTATTGTAGTTCACAAAAAGTTTGTGCCTTGAATCATGAAGCAAAATCCTGCTCAGAAATCAATCTTTTTAAAAAATTAGAACAAAAAATTAATTCCCAAAGACACTTTAATAACATAGCCTTCAATCTAAAAACTGAAGTCGAACGCTTAATATTATGTACACTTAACATTTTCAACCTCTGTCATATCTGGAGACCCCTGAAGGTATAAATAGTCCTGCCAGGGTGTGGAAAGCAGGCAAGTTGCCAATTAAAGAGAATTCTGGTGGAATTGGGCCATAAGGAGTGACTAACAAGCAAACTAGCAAAAAAGGAGCTGGAGACCGTGAGGAGCTATTGGGAATGTTAGAAGCTTCAAAATGAGTGTTAGATGAATACTGTGTTACAAAAATAGCTAACTATTATCATGAATATTCTAATTTCTATTTCGTGGTTTCTACATCTGGGTATTTGCTCCCCCAAATGTTGTAATGTTCTGTAGATGATCCTTATGCATTGTCTCAAATGAGGTTTTTATATATGTGAGATGTGCAGTTGATGCAGGAGACAGTATAAACCCCGACAGTGAGAACTATTCATTTATTCTTAAGGTGTCAGCACTTAGCATAGAACCTAAAAGTAATATATGTTGAATAAGAACTTCCTAACTGAATAAAGTGGGTGGAATATAAGTTGCCTATTTCATACCTTTTTTTTAATAGCAGGGCTATCTAATCAAAATATAGTGTGAGTCAGAAATACCACATTAAAGAGGTTAAAAAGTTGGGGCTGGAGTGATAGCACAGTGGATAGGGCATTTGCCTTGCACGCGGCCGACCCAGGTTCGATTCCCAGCATCCCATATGGTCCCCTGAGGACCGACAGGATTAATTCCTGAGTGCAGAGCCAGGAGTAATCCCTGTGCATTGCCGGTGTGACCCAAAAAGCAAATAAATAAATAAAAGGTTAAAAAGTATAGGTGACATTATAATACATTTTATTTAACCTAACATCCTTAATAACATTTCAATGCATATAATATTTGTCTTTGCATTTATTTTTACATACTGAATCTTTGATCCAGTATGCATTTTTACTGTTAAAGTAACATTTGGGTATTTTGTATATTTTCTTCCTTTCCACAGAAATTCTTTTTTGATAGTCCTTTACTGTTGCATGTATAGAAACTCATATGTAATTGAATTGGAATTCCTGATCCCTGAATCTTGCTCTTGATTTTCTAACTTCACCAAAAGACTGCCCTGCTTTACTTTTCTTTAAGATGATGGAGGGGTTGGAGAGAAAGTACATCTTGCAGGTAGCTTAACCACATTCCATCGCCAGCATCCATTTGGTTGTCTGAGCACCTCCAGGAGTGATTCCTAAGTGATTCCTGAGCATTGCATTTGGCTAACCTGGTTTGAGTCCTCAGCACCCCATATGATCCCAAGAGCCTTCCTGGG